CATTGCTGGTAATTGGCATGTTCAAATTTTCTATTTCTCCCTGCTTCTGTTTTGGGAGCTAATATGTTTCTAGGAATTTATCTATTTCTTCTAGGTTATCTAATTTGTGGCATATGATTTGTTATACACATTCTCTTATAAACCTTTGTATTTCTGTGGTATTGACTATTATATCTCCTCTTTCATTTCTGATTTTATTTTAGCTCTTTTTTGGGGGGGATGAATGTAACTAAAGGTTTATCAATTTTCTTGATCTTTTCAAAAAACCAACTCCTGATTCATTGATCTGTTCTATTGCTTTTTCTAGTAGCTATATCATTTATTTCTGCTCTAGTCATTATTACTTCCTTCTGCTAGCTCTGGGTTTTGTTTGTTCTTTTTCTAGTTCCATTAGGTGAAGGTTGTTTATTTGAGATTTTTCTTTCTTCCTGAGGTAGGCCTGTATTGCTATAAATTTCCCTCTTAGCACAGCTTTTGCTGCATCCCAAAGATTTTGGACTGTTGTGTTTTCATTTGTCTCCATGTATTTTTTTATTTCCTCTTTGATTTCTTGGTTGACCCATTGACTGTTTAGTAGCACGTTATTTAATGTTCACATTACTTAATGTGGTCTTTCCAGATTTTCTTCTTGTGGTTGATTACTAGTTTCGTAGCATTGTGGTCAGAAAAGATGCATGGTATGACTTCAATCTTTTTGAATTTGTTGAGGCTTGTTTTGTGGCCTAATATGTGATCTATTCTGGAGGTTGTGCCGTATGCACTTGAAAGAATGTATATGCTGCTGTTTTAGGATGAAATGTTCTGAATGTATCTGTTAAATCCATTTGGCCCAATGTGTCATTCAAAGTCACTGTTTCCTTGATGATTTTGTTTGGATAATGTATCCATCAATGTAAGTGAGGTGCTGTAGTCCCCCACTGCTTTTGTACTACTATCGACTACTTCCTTTATGTTTGTTACTAGCTGCTCTGTGTATCTGGGTGCTCCCATGTTGGGTGCATAAATATTTACAATTGTTACATCTTCATGTTGGATTATTCCCTTTATGATTATGAGAATGTCCTTCTTTGTCTCTTGTTATAGTCTTTGTTTTAAAGTCTATTTTGTCAGAACTATTGCTATTCTGGCTTGCTTTTCACTTCCATTTGCATGATACATGCTTTTTCATCCTTTCACTCACAATCTGCATGTGTTTTTAGGTCTAAAATGAGTCTCTTGTAGGCATTATAGAGATAGGTTTTGGTTTTTTATCCATTCCATCACCTTGTGTCTTTTTATTGGAGCATTTAGTCTGTTACCATTTAAAGTAATTATTGATGGGTATGTACTTACTGCCATTTTGTTACTTTATGGTTGTTTTTGTCGTTCTTCTTTGTTCCTTTCTTCTCTTGCTCTCTTCTCACATGGTTTGTTGGCTTTCTATAGTGATCTACTTGGATTCCTTTTTCTTGATGTTTTGCATATCTATTCTGGTTCTTGATTTGTGGTTATCATTAGGTTTGTAAATAACATCTTCTGCATGTAGCAGTCTATATTAAGTTGTTGGTCCCTTAAATTTGAACCCATTCTTTACTCCTCCCTCCCACCCCCACATTTTAGGTACATGGTATCATACTTTATATCCTTTTATTTTGTGAGTCCCTTGACTGATTTTTATAGATATACTTTATTTTTACTGCTTTTGTGCTTCTTACTTTTCTTACTCCTTATGATCTTTTCTTTCCACTCAGCAAATCCCCTTTAACATTTCTTGTAGAGCTGATTTAGCTGTCATAAATTCCTTTAACTTTTGTTTTTCTGGGAAACTCTTTACCTCTCCTATTCTGAATGATAGCCTTGCTGGTTAGAGTACTCTTGGCTGCAGATTTTTTCCTTTCAGCACTCTGAATATATCATGCCACTCCCTTCTGGCCTGCAACCTTTCTACTAAAAAATTAGCTGATAGCCTTATGGGTTTTCCTCATATGTAACTACTTTCTTTTCTCTTGCTATTTTTAAAATTCTCTCTTTGTGGTGCCTGGATGGCTCAGTCAATTAAGCGCCTGATTCTTGGTTTTGGCTCAGGTACTGATCTCAGGGTAGTGAGATCAAGCCCATGTCGGACTCTGCATTGAGCATAGAACCTGCTTAAAATTCTCTCTCCCTCTGCCCTTCCCCTGGCGCGCACTTGCTCTCTCTAAAAAATAATAATAGGGGCACCTGGGTGGCTCAGTTGGTTAAGTGTCTGCCTTCAGCTCAGATCATGATCCCAGGGTCCTGGGATCAAGCCCCACATCGGGCTCCTTGCTCAGCGGGAAGCCTGCTTCTCCCTCTCCCTCTGCCTGCTACTTCCCCTGCTTGTGTGTTCACTCACTCACTCACTCTCTCAAATAAATAAAATCCTAAACAAGTAATAAATTATCACTATTCTTTGCCATTTTATTATGTGTCTTGGTGTGGACCTCTTTGGGTTGATTTTGTTGGGGTCCCTCTGTGCCTCCTGGATCTGGATTTGTTCCCTTCCCCAGATTTAGGGAGTTTTCAGCTGTAATTTCTTCAAGTAAATTTTCTGCCCCCTTTTTCTCCTCTTTCTGGCTCCCTATAATGCAAATGTTATTATGTTTGATGGTGACACTGAGTTCCCTAAGTCTTTCTTCATTTTTTTTTTTCTCCCCCTCTGTTCAGGTTGATTGCTTTCCATTACTCTGCCCTCCAGGTCGCTGATCTGTTCTGCTTCCTCTAGTCCATGTATTCCCTCTAGTGTATTTTTAATTTCATTTATTGAGTTCTTTATTTCTAATTGGTTGGTTGTTTTCTGTCTGTTGAAGGTCTCACTGAGGTCCTCCACTCTTCACCAGTCCATGGAGTATCTTTATGACCATTATTTTAAATCCTTTATCAGGGATATTACTCTTCATTTTTGTTTAGGTCTCTTCTGTGATTTTGTTCTCTTCTTTCATTTGGGACATATTCCTCTCTCCCCTCATTTTGTCTAACCCTCTGTGCATTTCTGCGTGTTGGGAAAGTCAGCAAGGTCTCTTGCTCTTGAAAGTAGTGGCCTAATGAAGATGTCCTGTAGTACCCTGCAGTGTCCCCGTTCACCAGGATCAGCACTTCAGGAGTATCTCCCATGTGTGTGCTTTTTATGACCTACTGCTGTGGATGAGCTGCTTTTGCATTCAGTCCAGTGGTCTGCAATGGCTTTCTTTGCCTATTGTGAGCAGGATTTGGTCCCTGTGGTGGTAGCCAGTCCTGCCTTGAGCTTGAACTGAGTCAGATCAGGCATTGCCAGAAATGCAGTAACATCAAACTGCAGGGTACTTTCCCTGTGTTGTTCCTTAAGATTTTGTTGGTGGGTGGGACCTGTCGTCAGACCAGATGTCTGCCCCCAGCCTACTGCTGGGGCCAGTTTGGTATGCATGGTTATTTTCCCGTCTCCCCAGGGCAGGAATCACTTTGGTGCTGGTCCCTTTCAGAGCAGCTTGCACAGTGCCAGGTTTGTGGCACCACTTTGGGCTCTGGCCAAGGTCATATTGGAGGGGGCTGATCAGGAGAACCTGGTGCAGGGCACTTGGTTTTAGGAAGGTGTGTGCAGGTGTGCTGTGGGAGGGAACGTGGAGTGCAGGCCGGGCTGAAGGGGGCATGTCTGCAGGAGAACCTGGGGATCATTTCACTGTTAGCAAGTTAGTTAGCACATGTTGGCACTGTGCTGGTTCCCTCAGGTGTCTGTGTATCTCGGCTGGGGAGCAGGGGAGGAAAATGGTGCCACATGCCCCTTTGTTCCTGGAACTTTCAGCACATGCTCTGAGATTAGTAAACCTCCCTCCCATATACCCCAGGCATTTTTCAAACTGCTGCTTCTATGCTGTATTTCCACAGGCTGTTTGTTGTGCTGTCTCTATAAGGGCAGGGACTGAGTTTCCTCTCACCTCCCGCCTCTCCCAGAGCCAAGCCCACAGATTTTTTAATGTTCCAGGTGTTAAGCACTTCTGATTGTAACAAATCATGGAATTATGCCCGGCTGGTTTTCAAAGCCAAATATTATAGGGATTCGTCTTCCCTGTGCCTGGGGTGTTTGGTCACCTGTGTGTTTCCCCTTTCTATGTCTGTGGCATCCCTCCTTCCTACAGACCCATTTAGCTCCGGACTGTGTCTCTGCCCTTCCTACCCTCTTTCATGTGGCCTCTTCCCTACATTTAATTGTGGAGTTGGTTCTGCCAGTCTTCAGGTTGTCTTCGATTTACACCGATGTCATATTGTCTAGGTATATCAGTGGGATAAGGTAAACTAGGGTCCTCCTACTCTGCCATCTTCCCCAGAAGTCCCAATCACTTTTAAGTTAGGACTGCCAATGTGTCCAGCATTCAAATACTCAAGACGTCCCTCTGGAAAATTTGGGATCACAAAATCAGGCCAGGATTGCTAGACTGGCCAAAAGATTGCCAATTAACCAGTTTACTTAATCATTTTATTATGCTCCAAAATTATAATTATAAATATAATAATATGCTCCAATGAGCCCCTGGGTTAGACACTGAGGAGTTGGTCATATTAAAAAAAAAAAAAAAAAGTGCTGCTCCCCTTGAAAAACTCAGGGTCTGCCAGGGGTGACAAAACTAGGACAGCATGGTAGAAGGGAACTTCTATCTGGCCCCAAATGAGAACTATTACTTATGGAGCACCTACTAGGTGCCAGACACTGTCTTCATTCCTCTCAAGACCCTCGCCCTCTTTACAGATGAGGAAATTGAGAGGTAGTTTCTCTAACACTGTGTCTTAGTAGCTGGTATTCAAATTCACATCTTTTGACTATTCATGCTCTTCACACAAGTCCATGCCACCCAACCTCAGGGCATGCCTGTGCATTCATCTGAGCCATGGCGGTGGTGGTTGGGATGGCACAGCCTCTTCTCCTGACCCAGCCTGACCCTGGCATGCAGTCACAGAGGAGGAAGAGGACACACAAACCTGCTATCTGAGCTGTCCTCATGCCTGTGTTTTCCATGGCTGTCTTCCCTCAGCCCCCAAATCAGCAGTCTTAGAAGAAATGCTTCACAACTTAGATTTCTGTGACATTTTGGTGCTTGGAGGGGACCTGGACCCAAGACAGGAATGCCTGGAGCTCAACCACAGCGAGCTCCATCAGCGACACCTGGATGCCACCAATTCCACAGCAGGCTACTCTATCTATGGTAAGACCACACTCAGCCCCTTAACCATGCTCTCCTCTCATCACACTCATGCTGGAGTCATGAGTGTGATGGTGCTCTGTCACCTGTGGAGTCAGGTAGGGACCTTTGACCTCAGAGCACGGACTCCTAGCCCCTCCTTCAGTGAGCTACTCCAGCATCTTGAGGACCTCTTCTGTAGAAAGTAGGTGGATGCTTTCTCTTATAATATTTGACCTCAGCAAATACTATAGCAGCATTTGACAGGCTGAGGCCATTCTGTTCAGAGTCTAATGTATCTGGAAATCCTTTGGGTCAGTTCAATTGGCTCCTTAGAATTCCTGTATCCATGCATTGTCTTCCCATAAACATCTCAAGCTCTTACCCTGGACAAATTCAGGAGAACACAGGTCCCAGAAGGCACATCCTGTATCCCCCATCTTCTACCTTCTTATGACAGGTGTGGTCTCTTGGCACAGGTGTGGGCTCCATGAGTCGCTATGAGCAGGTGCTGCATCACATCCGCTACCGCAACTGGCATCCAGGTTCCCTCGAGACCCGGCGGTTCAGAATCAAGTGCTCAGAACTCAATGGACGTTATACCAGCAATGAGTTCAACCTGGAGGTGAGTGGGTCCTTCCATCATTAGGGAATTTCAGAGTTACCCACTCGTTCCTCATTCATTTGGGTCCACCTGCCACTCCTGGTCAGCAGCACCTCTCCCTGCTCTTCCTAGGTCAGCGTCCTCCGTGAGGCCAGAGTCTCAGACAAGGAGCATGTCAACCACCTTATTGTGCAGCCTCCCTTCCTGCAGTCTGTCCACCACCCTGAGTCCCAGGGTAGCATCCAGCGCAGTTCAGGTAGGTGGCCTGGGAGGAAGGACCTTAGGCTATCAGGCGGTCACTGTGATTTAAGACCATCCACTAACAGGTATGGTACAGCAGCCACAGGTGCCCAGAACTGAAGGAGGGACCCAGGAGTGGGAAAGCTATGGGCCCTGCCTCTGAGGTACTCACAGCCTCAGTAAGGGGCTAGTCAGGGAAAGAAGTTACGATACATCATAACAGAGGTTAGTACAGAGTGCTAGGGCAAAACCTTCCAAGTCCTGTGAGGTCTACTCAGAGCCACATCCTGTGCAAAGCTGTCCCTGAGCCCCTTCAAATGTGCCCTCTCACTCTCACACACACACACACACACACACACACACGTGCACACCATATTGCAGTCTCCCACCCTTCAATTCTAGTCTTGCCATTTGTATTACTGTCGGGTGGGCGCTGTGTCTGTCCCTATAAAATTCTAGTGCCTGGCTCTCAGTGGAAGCTGCCCCAGAATTTGAGGGGAAAGCAAAAGATAGAACATACATTCACCATTTGATTTATTCCACACAAGTACCCATTACAGAGATGAAGAAAATGAAGCCCAGACAGGGTGAGGTGCTGGCCCAGAGTTCTACAGCTGAGAAGTGGTAGGGCTGATTGTAACCTACACATGGATGTTTCATTCACACTCCATCCCAAGACTGAGCTAGTCCTGTTCGCCACGTCATGTGGACTCCTTCCTTGTTCCAGTGGTCCCAAGCATCGCCACAGTGGTCATCATCATCTCCGTGTGCATGCTGGTATTTGTCGTGGCCATGGGCGTGTACCGGGTCCGGATCGCCCACCAGCACTTCACCCAGGAGACGGAGGCTGCCAAGGAGGCTGAAATGGATTGGGACGACTCTGCGCTCACTATCACAGTCAACCCCATGGAGGTGATCCTCACGCAGGGGCTGGGATCTTGGGGCAGGATGCTTCCCCTCCCCCAGCTCCATCTTCCCTGTGCTGGAAGCCCTGCCCCAACTAGCCCAGCCCCACTGACCCTTGCCTTCTCTGAGCACCTTCAGCCCACTCAACCTGCATGGACCATACTTTCCCACCAGCTGCATTCACTGATTAAAGATGTGAATTGCTCTCACCCTACAAACAGAACCAGACATTTCTTAAGGCAAGCAGCCATGTGGTGTCTGTCCCTTGCCTCCCCCATAGTGTTTAATACAGAGCTAACACTTAAAGACTCAGTATTGAATTTTTTGATTAACAGTGTAAATTAGATGGCTTTGCTCCATGCTGCCTGCAGAGCTCACTTAAAGGCTCAGAATAGGTTAAAACAAAATCACAACAGCAATACCTGCCATTCACTGAGCACCCATCATGAGTGCCATCATGTCAGACACTGCACAGGGTGCTCTTTATACACCACCCCATTTAATCTTCCCAACGCCCTGTGAAATAGAGGTTCTCATCCTTACTTCTCAAGGTGGGAACCAACTCAGAGAAGAAAGTCAAAATGCTCAAACTTATATAGCTAGAAATGGCAGTGCCAATATTCAAGTCAAGGTTGCTGGATCCTAAAGTCATCTCATTTCAGTTAGCTAGCAACCTCCAGCATCCACCCATAAGGGTCTAAGGCCCCAGCTCTGGATATACGAATATCAAAGTGCCCTTTGGGCTGCCCATGGTTTCCTCGGTGGTGGTAGGGGCAGGAGTAGAAAAGCAGAGGAAAATCAGGAGGAGCCACTGAGGAATGAAGATTCTCCCAGCGTGGTCCCCCTGAGTTGGCCTCACGCTCCAGTATCCTAGCCAGTGTGCCAAAGTAGCTCATCTTCTCCTAGCATAGGGTGTAGGTATGGTGCTAAGCGTGCCACTGTGGGGACACCAGCATTTCCACCCTCAGAGAGCTGAGCCTCAGCTGTGGGAAACAAGCCCCTATGCCTGGAGCAGTCTGAGTACTGGGCACAAGTGTTCTTACCGAGGGCTAACATGCTGATGCCAATGGTCAGTGAAGCAGGAGTAGGGAGAGCCATCAAGGCTGGAGTATTCAAGAAAGATTTCCTAGAGGAGGCTAGCCTAAGGGAGGCCTTGAAGAACGGGTTAGGATGGAAGGGAGGGGTGGCAGGCAAGGTAGAAAAGAAGGCACTCCAGGGAGGGGATGCAACCATGCAAGGGCATCCAACTTTTATGGCTGTTTCATCAACTCAAAACATAAATCCAGAACTAAGATTTTGCTAGAATCACCAAAAAGCTGGCTGGGGGTGGGGCAGGAATGGAACTGGACAAGAGTGGGGTTGAGTGTGAGGACACAAGTCTCAGCCAGTGAGGGGAGGCATGGAAAATGAGGGCTATGAACGAACTTTCCTTCCCGAAGGGATATTTCTGAGGAGCAGCACACCTGAGTCTTGGCTTAGAAGACTTTCTGCTCCCAGAGACTATGATGTCACCTGGGAACGGGCTGTATGCTTCTCAGTGAGAGAACAGCATTCGAGCTAACACTGAAGATGTGGAAAGCTCCATAGAGACAGGCTCCAGAAATGCCAGAAAGTAAACCTTGGCCTGAAAGGTTTCCAAAGAAGGGAAGGACTGGCTTCGATGTCTTATGTTTAAAACCCACAATTTACCTTGAGTCCAGGTCTGGGAATTCGCTATTTCTTCTTGGTCCTTAGCCCTTGGATTTGCCTTTCACCAGAGGACCTCCTGTCCAGGAGGCCTGTCCCTAGGGCCATGGGTTTAGCAGGAAGGGAAAGGCATTCAAGGGGCCCAAAATGTTCCCTTAGTGGAGGGAGAAACATGTAAGTTCCAGAGTGGTTTTTGCTCAGCCCCTGATGAGCATGTCCCTTCTCTCTCCGACATCCAGAAACATGAAGAACCAGGGCGTGGGGAAGAGGAGACTGAGGAGGAGGAAGAGGAAGAAGTAGAGGAAGACGTGAGCTCCAGCAGCAGTGAGTCAGAGGACAGCGAAGAGGAAGAGGAGGAGGAAGGGGTCGGCAGGGGCAGGCATGGGCAGAACGGAGCCAGGCACACCCAGCTGGAGTGGGATGACTCGGCCCTACCCTACTAGCGCCCCGCTGCCTGCGCCCACTCACGCGGCCCTTTTGTAAGCCCCACCCGCTGTATGCCCGAGTCTATCACGTGTCGCCTCTGATTCCTATGACGGGTCTGGACAGGCCTTCTCCAGCCTCCTGAAAGCCACCCTTTATGCCTTGGGCACTCCCTGTGTCCCAGCCCTGGGGAGCGTCCAAGACTCCCAGGGTTGTCATTAGTGGGGACTTCCAGGGGGACTTTGTCCTGTAGCCCCCCGTGTCTGCCCTGGGCTCTCCCAGCATCCTGTCCGCCAGTCTGCAGAGTTCTGCCTGTGCTCTTCTCTGCAGGGGAGAAAGTCAGCCTTTATATCACTCACCTGCCCCGGACTCCCTGTGCCCAGGGCCCTTGGGTTCCAGCTCACTGTGCGTGCACCTGCCTCCGTCTCCTCTTCCACACAGACCAGCAGGTTCTCCTTCCCTGACTCTTCAGGTGGCTTCACACGGGCAAGGTGGTCAGACTTCACACACAAGAGGTCTCCATTCTTAAAGGAAAGTCCTTGTTGAGGCAGAATTAATGTATAGGGAAAGGTTCACATGCACGCACGCGCACGCGCACGCGCACGCACTCATACGCTCTCCCCAGTTCGGAGAGCCTTTCCCTTTGTCCTTTCTGACGCCACACAAGCTTAGATGAAAAGTCCAAAACCAAGGAGAGGTCCTTGGCCACAGCAGGGTCTGGTCCCCAGCCAAAGCTCTCTGTCAGCCTGCCTTGGCTGCCCTGCTGGGGGCTGCCACCACACATCACAGGAACCAGGAAGCACTCCACAGAGGCACCACCCCAGGCGACAGCGTGACAAGCTTGCAGCCAGGGACCAGAAGGAAAGGCTGATAGGATGAGCAGCTGGGCATCACGGCGGGCACAGATCTGGGGGACGGGGGTGGTGGGGTCTCCCCAGAGGGCAGCCAGAGGTTGACAAGGCTTTCAGCATCTAGTCTTAGGGTCCCTCATCACCAGTTTCACACTATTTTACCTCTTGAGAAAATGCATCCCTCTCAGATGTGTTAGTGTGAACTGTGAATGTGCCGAATCTAAAATGAAAGTTTGGAGATTTGAATGCTGGGAATTAGGAGCATATCTGTGATTGGAACAGCTGCTTCTTTAGTCTTCTTATAAAAGGAGCAACGCTTTGGGTGGAGGGCAAATATATCTGAAAACCTAATTTCTTGTTTTAATAAGAAAATCTTTTCCAACTCCATCCTAACATGGACACCTCGTGAGAAGGGTTGCTATGGTAACTTGTGTGCACTCTTTTGTGACCAAGAGAATAGCAGGCAAAAACAGGGCCATTCTAGGACTTCCACAAGGCTGAGACTGTCTTTGTTTTGAATGTCTCTGGCTTTGTCCTCCATCTGTACGATCTGTCCCTGTCCTCCCACCCTCCCCCAGCCCATACTGGCAGAGGCACAGAGCTGGCCCCTAGTCACAGTGGCATTCAGGTTCAAAAGAAAGTCAAGAATCTGTTCATTCTACTCACCATGTCACCAAAACAGAGCTTAAGGGGGGTCCATCATCAATGTCCTCTAGTTTGACCTCCATCCATGAGCAGCCCCTGCAACCTTCTGATTCAAGCAAACTACCTGATGCAGCTTTTTCCACCACTGATAGTGGTTCTTGCATATCTGTTTCCCTCCTTTGAGCCTCACCATAATTCAGTCAGAGAATTGGGACATCTATTGTCAGGCATATTTTGAGTAAACAGGTTCGGAGCTTCAGCACCTTGCTCAGAGTCATTTAGACCTAGAGACAAGACCAGACTCCCCACCATCCACTCTCGGTCCAGTGCCCACCCACCCCACTCCTATTTATATTCATATAAATACAGCTCACAGGCATTTCTGAGGACCTACTATGTGCTAAGCACTCAACCAGCAGCCCTACAAAATGCTAAAGCTGAGGAAGAGGAGCGCCTCCCCTCCGAGGATATAATCGTTGCAGAGGGGTACCCAAGAGGCATAGAAATTATACGAAACAGACCCAGAGCAGGGAGAGAAGTCACAGGAGGAAGAGGCACACAATCACAAACTCAATCAGTGCTCTAATTTTTCCCTTCTTAGGGAAAAATGCAGGCAGAAGTTCGGGATTTTATATTCATTGAATGGAAACAGACACTTCTGTGAATTCTCCCAACCAAAATGCCCTTTTTCTATCAGGCTGTGTCTGCACATCTACAAGGAGAAAATCTCTAACACTGCTTAGAGGAGTCTTAAACACCCCTACCGTACGTTCAAGGAAAGCAGCCTTCCCATTTACCAAGGGAAAGTAGAGTCCCACCACTCCCTTCGTTAAATAAAAAAAGATTCTCCAGTTGGGCACTTAGGAGCTAACAGAATTCTCCCAAAATTATGGCAGTATAACCAAATTTATGGTTCAAAACCCATTTTTTTGTTATAAGAAATTTTTTTAATGTTTCAAGTTTCTAAATTCTAGTAAATTAATATAGAGTGTAATATTAGTTTCAGGAGAATTCAGTGATTCATCACTTACATACGACACCCAGTGCTCATCATAACCAGTTCTTTTTCAACTGAGTTTCCATTTAAAATTATAGGTCTGGTTTTCATGAGAGCACCTTGCAGAGTCCTTTTGGTTTGGTTGGGGTGGGAAGGGCTTCCTCATGCCCTCTGGCCAACTCCAATGCTGCATCACTTACTCATGGTTGAGTGGGCTATTTGGAGCATAATTGGGGAGGGTATTGGGGGATCAGGTAAAAGTAGCACTTGGCTAAGGACACAGGGTTGAATCATTAGTGACTAGATTGATGTAGAGAAATAATGGAAACAAGTCAGGACCCTCTCCATCAACTCCTGTTGCGCAAAGCCAGACTGCATGTCAGCTCCAAAAACGAGGCATAATAATACTGCTGGGTCAATGGGCATTTATCATGTTCCCAACACCCTACTCAACAAGAAGGAGTGGTTATATAAAAGTAGAAGAAGCTTCAGGGACTATTCAGGTGAGTGGCGAGTAATGTAACTTGCCCTCCACCAGATATTCTAATGATGAGCGAAAAAGGTCATTAATCAGCCCAGCATTTTCCAGGTTCCATATGCTGGTATCTGGGAACCAGAACTCCCAGATGGCCCAGACACCGTGTAGCCTCTCATCCAGAAGCAGCAGATGCAGGCTCATACCCCAGAGGAACAGCTGACCAGGTTGGCCACAGGCCAGACCATTGCTTATCTTGCCAAGAAGATGACCAGATCCTGCTCTCTGGAGCTGGAAAATAGATAGGCTGAAACCTCTCAAGTGATTCGGGTGACAGGGAGGAAGAGGAAGACAAGGTTGAAATGGAAAAGGCCAGTATAGAATGAGCTGCCCAATGGAGTAAAGCAATCAACTAGTTGGTCACCTGTCTTAAAGAATACCAAAAGTATATTCTAGTAGGTTAACCAAATGCTTTAAATCTGACCAAGGCCCAAATTTATGTAGATAACAAAAATGTAATTTGAGTGGGAATCTTATTTCATTACCACTTTCTTAAATGTTCTCAATCATCCTATCGAGCAGGGTTTAGACCACACCTCTCTGCAGGTAGCAAGAGCTGCACCTTGTGGACACAGACCTTCCAGGGAGAGGGCTCCTGGTGGGAAGCAATGTGCTCCATGCCTGTACATACAGCAGATGTCAGCAAACTTTATCTATAAAGAGCCAGATAGTAAATATTTTGGGCTTTGCAGGCCATATGGTCTCTGTTGCAAGTATTCAAATCTGCTACTGTAGCATGAAACCAACCACAGACAATACATAAACGAATGGATATGGCTATGTTCCAAAAAAAATTATTTATGAATACTAAAAAAGAAAATTCGTATTATTTTCACGTCATGAAATTTTATTGTTGATTTTTACCTTTTGACCATTTAAAAAATTAAAAAACTCCTCTGAGCCCATGGGCTATACAAAACCCAGCAGCCTGCCAGATTTGGCCTGTAGGTCATAGTATAAACACCCCTACCATACGTTCAAGGAAAGCAGCCTTCCCATTTACCAAGGGAAAGTAGATCGCTATCTTAGACCCTTCCTTCAAATACCCAGGGGTCTTTACCTCCAAAATGAACAACTCCATAGCCCTTAGTTAGGCTCTTTTAAATGTCCATGTCCCAGCAAGAAAATGACAACAAAAAAAACACCTGTTACTGGTCAAATTGACTTGAACACAGGCAAGCATTCATGCAGAATGCCAAGCCCTGGGTACAGGAACTGTGACCACTGAGCACTAACCTGCTTGAGCTCAGGGCCAACTCCCAGGCACAGAGCCTTCCCAGCACAACTCAGCCCATAATGATTTCTAAGCGGGGGTGTTCATCATCTGACTGATTTCCATTTCAGCCCTGTTCATGCCATTGCTCTAAAAATGATCCTAAAGACTTTTGACTGTTTGAATCAATAGCAACATAATCAGTAGAAATCCCTACCCAGCACATTTCAAAATTAGCAGTCTTCATGGCTCTATGATTCAATATTAGCAAGAAGAAAAGAGGACTTTTTCTTAACCATCCTCTCATTGAAATTAACCAAATCAGTTTTATAAAAAAAGTGAGGGAGTGAGTTTAATTCTTTGAAAGAATTTACAAGTGAAAAGTAGATGATTTTCAGGTAAGATCATTCTCAGGCCTTTGGGGGATCCTCCAAGCCCCTGCAAAATACTCTGGAGGGCTACAGACGGTACAGGATCCTCTATCTGCAGCAAACTTTTATCAAGGCTGACAAGCCAAAGCCCTTGGCACAATTTAATTTTTATGTAATCACTTTGCACTGCCCAACTGTAGGCAAAGGAAATGAACAGTGAAAGTCTTGAAGTCTACTCCAGCACCTTCATTTCCCTGCCTTTATTTTATTTTATAAATTTATTCTGTACCTACTTTATAGATCTTGTTCTAGTTTTCTTTATGGTGCCAACTACAAAGGAGAGTTGGCTTTACAAGGGCTATAGATTAGAAGTCAAACTTGACTCTATCCCAAGACAACACAAAGAGA